CCTGCACCAATGGAGAGGTGCCAAAGCCCTGGGCCCCCATGTGGCAGGGAGTTCATGGCCTTGCAAACCGGTCATTGGCCAGAGGGGCAGGTCAGGGAGCCCTCGGGCCCCTCTGGAACTGACAGGAGCTGCCTTCAGCCCTGCACTCGGCTCCACCCCTCAGACACTGCGATTCCATCCTCTGCTATTCACACATTGCCCATTCCCAAGTGGAATAATTGGTTCACATGTCAAATTGTAACTCCACCCCCAAGCCTCAGAGCTTCTGTGGCAAATGACTGAAATGCCACACAGGGATCTGAGGTGTCCATAAACCAACAGGCTGAATATGGAGAGGGTTGTCTGTGCCTGGGAACAGATGTGGATCCACTTCCCAAGGATGTTGGGGTGTAATGAGAGTTTTGCTCAATGTAGGTTCAGGTAGCTCTGCATTTCACAGTGGCATGAAAGAGAACATGGAGAAAAAGCAATCATAAGAGTTCTTCTTTAGGTGTAAGTAAAATTTTGTGATCCAGATGTGGGCCACTGCTTTGAAAGGACCTAAATTGCATTCAGACCTTGGTTTTTGTTCCTTTTAGTTCAGGATTTTGGCACATTGCCTTATCATTTGAGCATAAAGATGATGAAGAAGGCAAGTGTCATCCAGAGCAACACCAGATCTTTCAAATACTTCACTAAACCCAGAGTTACAGTCAACCTTACTGCTGATCTCTAAGTTTTCAAAAGAATGTTAGTTCTAGGAAATGTTAATCTTAATTTTGATAATTCCTATTGCTACTCATCTATGTGAAGTGATGACACTAAGGCCTTAATTTTTTTATTCCAGTGTTCAATGAAAAATTGAAATTATGTTATGAAATGATCAAATTTAAGGTAAGATATTTGCTGGGGCATAACAGGATGGCACAACAGATCTGCTGAATTGTAAAATTTTAAAAATTTTTGGCACAATGCATTATTTCATTTTCTGTTAGAAACGATGCTCACTTTCATTGGCCAAACCATGAATTTAGCTGTGTAATTATTCTGATTCCAGAAATGCATTGTAAATTTAAGCTTATGTTCATTTATTTAATTTTTTTTCTATTATTTTTTCTTTTTCTCTTCCTCTCTGTTTTTTTTTTTTTTTTCATTCATGAGTCACAGCATCATCTAGTGGTCAAATATGAAAAGGAGATTTTTTGGTGGATTATCCATTGGTTTTGTATTTTATTCAGACAAAAAATTTAACAGCATAAAGAAAATGGCTGCTTATGCTCAGGAAAGCAGTTACCTGACAAAGCATTCTTTAAATATTAATTTTCTCTTTTTGCAAAAAGTCTTTTTTACTGAATCAGCAATCATTTTGCAGTCTCATGTTGTGTGTATGCCTGCATAGCTGTGGGGGGCTGGCCATGCTAGGTGCCCAGCACAGCTCGTCTCTGGCTGCCCTCCTCAGCAGGCAGGGCACAGGAACTGTGGCCAAAGGCCCCTGGACAGGCAACGTTCTCCTTGGCAAAACAGTGGCAGGTCCACCTTGGGGCCAGCTGGCACCTGAACTTCTGGAAAGGGAACCTTCCAGCACTTCTCACAGAAGCCAGCCCTGTAACCCCTGGCTACCAAAACCCTGCCCCACAAAGCACTGGGGCTGTGCAGTGGATGAAACGCAGCTCGCCCACGCCTGGAGCCTCGGTACCACGGACACCATTCTGTCAGGAACAGCCAGGATCCTGCCAGCCTCACTGGGGCCCCTCTGCTGCCTTCTCCCTACAGCACTTTCTTACACCACACTGTTGAGATGAATATGGAGACAGTTACTTAACTGCCACCATGAAAATCAGATTTTGCCCAATAGTGTCATTTGTACCTCAAAGCTGCTCTGGTGGTTTTCTTTTTTACCTCAGTAATCAAAACACCTTGGCCTGAGGCTTCCAAAACTTGCAACAAAAACCACCTTGCTAGGCTTGTGTAACTCACAAGAAATTAGGCAGGAAAAGTATCCTTTGGGAACTGAGTCTGAATAACATCTAATTATGTCTGTAACTCCTATATTTGTTGATCCACAGAGTTGTTATTGCAGCAATGACCTGATAATATAGGATGCTGGTCTGCAGGCCAGTAAATACTGTATTGCCATTATTAATAAAGAGCCACAGGCTTTCAAAGCCTCAGGACTGAGTGATGTCAGATTGTTTTGCTTGAACTCACATAGACTTGTGTGGAGCTCTGTCTTAACTTGCTTAGATGTGGCATCAATTTTCCTTATGAGGTGGCTCTGCCAAATTTCATTTGCTTTAACCTCTGCCCTGAAAACCAGATTTGATCTAAGCTGTAGTAACAAGTAGTCATTCTGTGGAGAAGGAAATATTTATCACTAATGCAGAAATACAGGCCTAGCATGACAGCAGAGGCCCTGGAGTCAATACTGTGCATGGAGACACACATGCATGCAAACACACAAGAGCAGCTTAGAAGCTTTGTAGAAACTGGAGTGCTACACAACATTTGCAACCCACATTTTGATTCTATTCAGGTAAAGTAAAAGCAGAGTCCACTTGGAGAACTACTCAAACAGCCCTGGCTGCATAATCCACAGTTCTGGAAGTCACTGTTTGTATAGTTACAGATCAGACTGTCGTTCTTGCCAACTCATTTTAACTGGAATTTGAATTTTTGTCTTCATGAAGTTACCACACATTTACAAAAATATAGTCATGTTCAAATAGAGAAAAAAGGGAGGAAAAAAATCAGAAGGTTAATATGGCATGGAATAGCTTGCCTATGCAGGCTGTGGAATCTTCACCCTTAGGGCCTTTTGACACCAGCTGGAGAAAGTCTCGAGTGATGTGGTTGGATTTCAGTATTGACCTTGCTCTGAGTAGGAACTGGACGTTGACTGGACTCGAGATTGCTGCAAAAGGATCTCCCTTCTTTCCCACCTGAATGAGGCTGTAGTTCTGACTCTTACTAGTACTGCTAAACCACTTGCATTCAATCTCTGTATAAGCAAAGAACTTCTAAGCCATGGGTTTCAACACAAAAACATGATGCATTGGTGTTGAAGAACTCTACTGTTCAAAAATCTACAAATTAAACATCTTGGTAAGTAAAAAAGGTAACATATTATTCATACATTTTGACTGTAGACATGACTGAGAGAAAGTTAATTTTTTTTTTTATACTTTCTGTGTCTTAGGAAAAGCACATACACATTTTTTATCAGTTTGACTTGCACGTTGCTATGTTAAACCTCTGCTCTAGCGGTGTTCAGCTTCAGCAGCCTGGTCTAACAAAGTAAAGAGACTTTAGAAGAGGTATTTTCTGAGGGGGATTTTGTGCTAGGAGGAACAAGGGGGCTGAAGAGCCATGAGATATTAGTTATTTCAAGTGAAACAATTCTTGTCAATTGTTCAGTGTAACTAAAGAGTACATTGTTTCCTCAGCCTTCTCTAAGCAGAACTGGGAACAGCGTTCCTTAGTTCTGAGGGGAAAACATATTTGAAGTTATTTCATTATTTTACCATCTGGTGAATGATATGCACATTAATAACTGGAATGTACTAGAACACTACAAGGGAAACAGGAAGGTTTGCTTTGCCTACAAGTTTCACAGATCTGCTGCATAAAATATTCTCTGAAGTCATTACCCAGGAGTGAACTGCAAGTCAGGCCAATTTAAACAGGATGCAGCAGCACAGCCACCACAGGCTTGCATTTACAATTGTTATCTTCCCATCTGCTACAATTGCACGTTGAGCAGCATACCCCAGAAAATCTTCTGGACTTTATACAAACCACAAGCCACACACAGAACTGGCTTGGCTGGCCAACGCTACTTTTAAAGTGTCAACAGCCTCAGAAAAAAAACTAGTACTGCTGGTGTTATCAAGAGAGAAAATACACTGCTCTGTTTGCACACTGTGTCAATTATTCCACCTGCTTCCCACTTCATAGATATTTCCTAGCTTATGCTTATGGCAGCAACAAAAATGCAGTAACAAATCCCATAAGAAACTGCTCCCACATTTCTGCTTTTCTCATTGATCCCTTCAGAAGATCCTTTTTTACCCAGCTCCTTCCCAAACTGGTTTGGACGAATTTGGATTGTCATCTGATGGAGCTAAAGAGACTGCTCTGCCCACCCACCACGGCCAGGCCTTTGCCCAATCTGTCAGTGCTCAGCCACCAAACGTGCCCGGCCAAGACCCTGCAGGTGCACTGTGCATAGCACCAGGTCCGCCATGGCCGCTCAGGAACACTGAAGGGACTTTATGGACTGAAGGCCTTGCTTCTTGTATGGAGAGGTGTGGGAAGCACCCATCCTATGGACAGGTTCCAAGCAAGTTTTCTCCATGGCTGGCTCCAGCACAGCCCAGCGCAGTGACAGAGCCCGGGTGTCCCTGAGTGCTCCGCTGCTCAGACACTGCAAGTGCTCCAGCAGGGCGGGCACTGCGCCTCTGTGGGACACACAGCCCGTGGCCATAGCGACACAGGCAGGCACGGCTTGTGCCAGCAAGCAACAGCTAATTTAACAGATCGGGGATTTCACTCTCTTGGGATCACAGCCTGTAGGCTCCAGAACAAGGCAGGCTTGGGAGCCGCCTGTGTGGCTGCTGTGGTAGGTGACAGCAATCTGTCCATCCTCCCTATTCACGCTGATTATCTCCTCACAAGTTGCAATTATGGCGGTGTTTCCCGTGGCCAGGCCTCACGCCTCAGTACCTCACTGTTCACGGGAGGGAGGCAGGGACAAGTCTCCGCAACTAAAGGCTGAGGAGAGGGCATTTTGAGAGCAACACTCCTTAGGACTTAGTGTGACGGCAAGCTCGTAAGCGTTAAAGTGTTGAAGGGTGAGGGGAGCGGCACCGCGGGCGTCCCCTGGCGGGCTCTGCCAGGAGGGGCCGCTCCCCCCTCCGCGCGCGCTTCCCGCCACCTCCGCGGGGGGCGCCAGTCTCGCGAGACCTGAAGCGGTGCCCCGCCCCGGTTCTCGCGCGATTTGCGCCGCCGGTCCCTGCGCGGCGATGGCGGTGCCGGGCGCTGAGGAGCTGCGGGCGGGCGGCCCGGGGCTGGGCGCCGTCCCGCCTCACCCCGGCGTCCCGCCGCATCCCGGCGTGTCGCGGCGGCGCGGGCGGACGCTGCTGGTGCGGCACCTGCCCGCCGAGCTGACGGCGGCGGAGAAGGAGGATCTGTTGCAGCACTTCGGGGCCGTGTCTGTGCGGGTCCTGTCGGACCACGGGCGGCTGGTGAGGGCCGGGGCGGGCCGCGGGCAGCGCGGAGCCTGGAGCCGGGCAGGAGCGGGGGTCTCGCTGCCGGGGAGCCCCCGGGGCGGGCGGGACAGCGAGGGGACAGCGGGGGGGACCGCGGGCGGCTCCGGGCTCCGTCCCGCCCGCCGCAAGCGCCGTGCCCGCGGCTTTGGCCTCTGGTGCTGCCGGCGAGGCTGAGCCGTGCCCAGGGGCCTCTTGGCGCGGGCAGGGATGCAGGCTCACGGCTCTCCTGAAATCTCTGCTTTGCTTTCTTCTTCCCCCAGATAACGAAAACATTGATGTATTTGTGATAAGTGCTCTTCATAGAGAGCCTTGTTTTTTGCAGAACTGCAGATGGATGTCTGCGTATTTTATCAGTGTCCTGCTTTATAGGATATCAGATATACTGACTTTGTTACAATGATTTTGGGTACGGAATGTAGTGGCAAGATGGGGTAATAAAGTCTGTTAAAAAAAATAACTTAGAAGGGTGTATTCCGTGAGGATTTAATTTAGAAAATGAGGGGGGAAAATCAGAAACCATTCAAACGTTCAGAGCACAATAGTTACAACTTTCGTTGCAGGAAGAGCATTGCTTTTAGTAAGAGTTACTTTGATGAAAATGTTTTGTGAGGTGCTCAAATGAGTTTTCTGGTTTAGAAGAGAATTAAGCCTCTGTATCTGTATGTACTTTTGTGCAGTCTAGAATGGGTTTTGCTCACTAAAAAATCCCCACTTGTCCTGTATTTGTCAAACTGCTGAGCTCATGTCTTGATTTTGACTGCAGGAGGTACTTTTCCAAAATTCATATGAAAAAGGGTTTCTAGCCCTTCATGTTTGCCCTGATGGGAATTAGATAACTCCCATCTGGTAACTTTCAAATTTGTAAGCTTGGACTAACAAAGTGCTTGTGGCTCAGTGTTTTACATGGAATTTATTACGTTTTTTATTCAAATACATTATAACTTTTTGTTTGTTTTCTAGAAACATACTGCTTTTGCCACCTTTCCCAGTGAAAATGCAGCTGCAAAGGTTTGTATTGAGTTTGTTATTGAATGTTTTAGCAAAGCACTGAATTGCCAGTGCTCTAAGTCGTTTACACATCATTTGGTACTTAGGGCTAGGAAAAAACAAAGCAACAGAATGTAGTGTGAGAGTTCTGTTTCATCACAGATTTGCTTGCAGGGCTTGATAAAATTCTTGATTACTTCTGTGTTTCCTAGAGTCCTAGGAAAGGTGGATTGAGAGGGGTTTGTGGAAGTTATCTGATCCAGCCTGGCAAAGTTAGACAAGCTGAGACTGATCAGGGCTCTGTTAGGATGTGTGTGCATTTATAAATAAACTATAAACCAAGCTGAGTTTCCTTGTCTCCTGTGTAATTGTGTTTGCCATAAAAATGAGCCCTAGGGATTCTCTCAATCCAAGTCTGCCTTGAATGCCCAACTTTGGTAAGAAAACTATTGTAAGAATAGGAGATATGTATGCCAAAAAGGTTATGCTAATAATGCTTTTTAAATACTAGTCTAGTTAAAAAGCCTGTGCCAGAATTTCCCCCTTATACCTTGGGTTTGGGGTTTTTTTGCATTGCTTCTATTTCTTTTAGGCCACACTTTATAGGGCTAAAAAAGTGAAAGACTGTGTGAGGTGAACAGTGGTGAATTAGGTGCCAGTTGTTAGCAGCCTGCTGGGCTCTGGACTTGAGGAATGCTGGATCTTCCTAGAGCCACTGTGAAGATCTTGATTTTAGAATCCCTAGCTGCTACTGACAGAGTTTAGCATGTTTGTACTTCAGGAGCAAAAGGCTGGTTCTTTGAAATTCCAGCAATTTATTAGGCTGTGTGCAAAGTGTGATTGTTAGGCTGCTGCTGTGTTCAGGTGACCAAGCTGTGCCGTGGTTCTGGCTGTGCCTGGTCCCTTTCCTTCCTGCCAGCAGGAAATGCTGCTGAAAGCAGAGCTGGGAAGACACAAACAGTGCAGAGCTCTCGTGTCCACAGTAGCACAGGCTTAGCTTAAAGCACTTGGGCCTGCATCCTATGGCCAGTGTACCACTCAAAGGAAAAACAGTTATGCTCTAAAACAATTCTCATGCTTGTCCTCTTCCCTTTCTCTTCTCCTCTGCAATTACTTGAAGGCTTTATCAAGACTGCATCAGCTGAAACTTTTGGGTCACACCTTAGTTGTTGAATTTGCAAAGGAGCAAGAGAGTGCCCAGGTACTTAGCCAGCCTTCTGCCTCAGACAAGTGCAAAAGGTAGGTGCAGAGTAATTTCCTTGCTATCTTTGTGGTCAAGGAAAGGGGATTCTGGATTCATGATACTTAGGTAATACTTCTAACTCAAAGGATAAACTGTAACCACTTGGAAATCTTAACAAACAGGTTCCCATCTATATGACAGTGACTGTGTCATTTGCACCTGTGAAATGTGCAAATAAGTGATAAAAGCTATGTGATACTGCTTAATTAAAAATACTGTAGTAGAGTTTTCAGGTTATTTTTCTGAATATGAACAAATCAATAATTTAATACCTTTGAATTTATGTTCTCTGAAGAGAGTGCATGATAAATAATTTGAGTTCTTTTCCTTTGAGTGGATTTAAGTCAGGAGTGTTTGAATATAGGGAATCTTACTTAAATCTGCATAAGTATTTATTTGAGAAGACTGTCACTACTGTAATTATCCTCATGTATTAATTATGAAGAACTGGTAACAGCTGTAGTAATGCAATTGGTAAAAGATGTTAAAAATACCTGTGCTAATTTATTTTTTATATTTATTAATAGATGATGCATATTTTATCTATTACATAAGGCATACCTAATTTTTGCACTGTTTTAATTAAGACTAAATTAATTTTTAGTTTAGAAGAACCAGTGAAAGAAGAAGAGAAGATAGAACCAAACTGTGTTAAAATAGAGAATGGAATTGCACCCAACCATGGGTTAGTGCCGGGGTTTTATTTATCTTAATTATTTTATTCTGTTACAGATTATTTTGAAATGTGTTATGTACTGTTGAACAAGATGCTCAGAACAATAACTCCTATGGTGCTGTTCCTCAGGCATGTAGGAGTTGTCATAAAGATGGAGTTTCAGTTCCTCAAGTTTAGAATCCTCACATCTGCATAGTGACTGGTGCTTTGAGCTTGTGGATTGCAGAGCAGCCTTCTAACACTGCACATTGCTTTCTTGGGGGGTTGGAGGGCTGAGGTTCCCCCAGTGTTAACAGCAGAATATCACTGACTTCTTTTTCCTGACGTTTCTTTCTTCCCCCCCCCCCATTTTCATGTTAGCAGACAGGAAGTAGTAAATTTTGGGATTTACTGAGTTTCTGATATTTGTGCAGGCTGCTCTGCTGTGCTTTTAAATTGGACATGCTGATTGTTTCTGTTTGCTTTAAGCTCCTTCATGGCTTGATACTTCCAGTATTTCCAAGCCCAATAAATCTGTCATGCATTGGGGACTACTCCATGATGTTAAAGGCATTCTAAGTGGTCCAAAACTGTTCTAGGGGAAATAAAAATATTTCAGTGTTACTTCAGATGTAATTAATAGTTAAGCCTGTAGTAATCATTGTTATGGGTGATTAAGTGGCAGTAATGTTAAGGTGTCTTGTTTTCAATCTTTTTTTTCCTCAGCCTCACCTTTCCCATCAATTCTTGCCTCAAATATTTGTATCCACCACCTTCAAGTGCAATTCTAGCAAATATAGCAAATGCCTTGGCAAGCGTGCCCAAATTTTATGTCCAGGTAAGTAAAAAATGGGGGGAAAAGTATAAAATTAAAGACATTTATTTTTTTCTCTTTTAATTATGCACAGAAGTAATTATTTTTGTCATCATAAATACTAACTTGGATTTTCTGTGATAGTGTTAACCAATCTTAGTTTTTTACTGTGCTGAGGTAATGAGATTTTATTAACCTGAGATAGATTGACATTGAAGTCTTAACTGGATATGCTCTTCCTAATTACATGTGACTTGAGTACCTGGAATTTCATTCTGAGAGGATGCTGTATGTTTTTTATTAGCCTTTTAGGGTGTTGCTTATATTGACTCTTAGTGTTGGATCTCAAGTGCAAGTTTTACATTGTTCATGAACATTAAAACTGTGCTGATTTTCACCTGCCAGGAGTGATTGGCTGTTTTACCTAGCAAGGAACTTTTATCAAAGGAAACCTACTTATTTTGACTCATTTCAGGTACTCCATCTGATGAATAAAATGAATCTTCCTCCACCTTTTGGACCAATCACTGCTCGCCCTCCCATGGTAACAGTTGAAATATGTTTTCAGTACTGTGGGAATGATTCACAATTTAAAATGTTAGCAGCATAGTAGGAGGTCTGAATTTCTAGAGGATTGCAAATCCTGCTGCATTTGGCTGGGTACATGTTGGTCTTCTAAAGCAATTCTTTGGATTATACTTAAAACAAAGAAATACTCATCTGTGGTAGCAGCACTGGAGTGTTTCAAACTGTTGCTTCACTGTTGAAACTGAGATGGCTTTGGAGCCTAAGCCTTCACCCATATGCTTGGACTGTGTTCTTCTCAGGACAGTCCTTGAAGCTGAGTGCAAAATGAAAATCCAAGGCCATGGTTGCTGTATTTTTTTCTTATCTCAACTTAAAAGAATTAAACCATTCACTGTTATGCTTCAGAAAGCATTTTTTTTGCTTGTGGAAAGTTTTTCATTAGTAATGTAGTTTACCAAAATGATATCTCAATCCCTGTAAGCATACTTGGAGGAAATACTTGTTAAATTATCATTAATTGCTTTGACTGTGTTACTAAGAAAACAAGACATGTTCAGGTTTTTTCCTTCAAGAAGTTTAAGTTTTTGCAACTTCTTCCCCATAATTAGTATGAAGAGTATTTACCAGTGCCTGTGCCACCTCCCCCAATCCCACCTCTGCCTCCTGAAGAGCCTCCTTTGCCTGAAGAAGAAGGAGGACTTTCTAGTGGGGATGAATCAGAATATGAAAGTGATAATGATGAGGAAAAGGAGAGGTATGCATTTTACAGTCATGTGCAAGGTTTTGGGCTTGCTGAAAGGGGTGGTTTTACTTTTCCAGCTTTGAGTTCAGCAAGTGGTAATGTTTGCAGTATGTAGATGTAGCAGCTTGTAGAGAGTGTGTAGCAATCTTTCCAGATGTTTCGAGAACCCTCAGAATGCAGAAGAACAGTGCAGGTTTAAATGCAGTAAGGAAAGGAGAGTGGCCTATTGGTGTGCAAGTTTTCATTTGTTCTCATGTCCAAAAAATCCCAACTAAACAAAAACTCAGCTTGAAGAGTGCAGATGTAAGGAAGCAGAAATTTTATTATTATCTGAAGTCTTCATTGTTCCACATCTTTCTAAATTGACTCCTCAGCCTGAATTGTATGTGCACACCAACTTCCAGAACATTCTTTGTACATCAGCAGGTATGCTGGGGTGATAATATTTGTGCTGAGGGTTTTCTTGCAATTTTGGGACTGAATTGCATCATAGCTGTATTTTTTTAATCTTTAAACTAACTCTAAATTAAAAAGCAGCTTTTTCCTTTACTGTCTAAACTGAGAAGTAAATCAAAGTCCCTATGCTGTATTTGGAAAAAGCTACCCCTGTTGTGTGTTAGAAAATCAGGTTCAGCTTGGGCCATCACACCTTCAGTGTCCCAGTAAGGAGCATCTTTGGGGAAGGAAGAGCATCACTGACCTGTTAGCATTGTGGTCAGTCCTTAAGTGCTCTGTGTATATTGATTTGCTGTGTGTTACAGCTTCAGTTTTAAGGTTGTTAGTTTTATAATTTTATTCTGAAAAGTTCTATATCAAGGGCTTTAAGGAAAGGGGAGGGGTTTTTAAAATTAGTACTTTCAGTAAACTGTAAACCTCTTTGTTTTATTTTTGTTTGATTTTGGTTTTCTTTTTGTTTGAAATAGAATAACAAAGTTGATGGAATTAGCAACCCTTCAGCCTAAAAGACCAATAAACACAAAGAAGCGTGGTGTTAGGAAAAAGCAAAGAATTAAGGACATGTTGAATGTTCCTGTGTGTACTTCCCACAGGTTTGTGGTTTTTGCACTTATCCTATTGGTTTTATTGCCCTAAAAATCAGATTTTCTTCTAGTTTGAACTAAAGTCTGCTCAACAACTTTAAAGTGTGCCTGATTCAAGCTCTGTTTCTCTTCCTGTCAAACTAATAGAAATTCCTTTTCCTAAAAAGATAACTGGTTTTGCAACACAGCTGTGACCAAAGCAATTTGGATTTATTGTTTGGGCTGCTTCTTAAAACAAAGAATTAAAAGTATGACACTGGAAGAATAGAAACTAGCTTGCTTTAAAATGAGTTTGGGTCTTAGAACTGCAGTTCTGCGCCACAGTAGACAGCAGTACAGTATTTCTGTGTTGTGATAAATGATTGTGAATGCATTTTTACTAATGGCTGCCTGCTTCCTCCAAATGATTTGCTACATTTTCTTTAAGTGTCATATATTTTATATACTAGCTGAGGGCAGCAGCAAGGCCACTTATTTTTCATGCTGAAGTTACTGATGAAGGTTTAAATAAATACCTGTGTGTATTATACCATGGTACATGATGGTTGGTTTTGCTCCCACTGCCAGACACACCTTCTGTGTCTGCAGTGTTGTAATCACCGGAAACTGTTGGGTGAAATGTATGAAATGGAGAACATGTTTTTGTGGTAAACAGCAGCATAAAATCTAACTGGAAGAAATCATGTGTTTGAGCATGCATTCATCAGTGTCTGAGTCTTTAATTAATGTGTTGTTGTTGTTTTAAACAGTAACTCGCACCCTACACTGTCACCTTCAGATGTCTTTGAGCAGCTGCAGCATGTAGGTCATAAAAAAATAGAGTTTCATATTAGTACTGAGATCCCAGCTGTTCTTCAGATAAACCCAGAGAAAGAAGAAAAAAATGGTAAGAGGGTTTGTACTTCAAATGTGTTATGTTCAAGTCATGTGTCTTCAGTATATAAAGGGTGCTGAAATTTACACCAGGAAATTCTTTTCCCTTACTGTATTGGAGCTTTCAGCACAAAGTTGCATCATAGTTGTATTTGCTGCTTTTCCCACGTTACAAGCTTTGGAAAGGATCCAGAGGATTTTAAAGAACTCTCCTATGTACTCTGTGGTTTATGGTGAATGGCACTATCTTTTATATAGGATGCAAATGTTACAAATTTTCAGTATTTTATGGTGTAAATTAATATATCAGACTAATTTCGGATTTTCCTTTTCCAGCTCTTAGAGAGCAGTATCTGAGTGACTGCCAACCCTTTTTCTCTGATGCACTGATTATCTGCCATAAAAATGCTGGGTGGGCACTGATAACAATGAGGTGTGATGGCTTTTTAGAGAGTTATGGTCAATCTGTAGTTCTTGGTACTTTACAGTAATATCCAGTTTCTTTAAGGGAAAATAGTGAAATGGATACAGAACTGAACAGCAAGGCAAGGTTTATGCTAACTGATGTGTGCCATGGCCTTTATTTTCTACTACATGGGGTTTTATAGGACTGTACAGAGCAGGTGCTTTTGTCAAGCAGGGATTAAGACTCTTTTTTAAGGGTGTGTTCAAATTGCCTTGCAAAGTCTGCTCTATTATAAGGTTGCTGAAAGGAGTGTGGTTTTCTTGCTGGCTCTCGATCTTGGTGTGAATAAAGGTACAAACCACTTACATGATTTGTTGAAATTTCAGACCTTTATGCAACCACGGAAGAAATCAATAACACAGGCTTTGGAAGGATTTTCCCAGCTCCTAGCTCAAATGATAAAATGGAAACTGAAGAGGAGGATGATGAAATACCATCAGAATTTATTTCTAGAAAGGATCTAGAAAAAAACAGACTTTCAAGAGAAGGTATAACTGTGAGAATCAATTATCTAGTAACAGCTTTTGGATTTGTTGCAACAAATAGCTTAAATAAGTGGGGTTTTTTCTTAATTGAGCATATAGTAAATTATTTTATACTGAGCAAATGTGCAAAGTAAATGAATTAAAGCATGGTTCATTTTTTTGTCTTCAAGAAATGGAAAAATATTCTGTTTTCAAAAACTATGAGCCAGGTGATCCAAATTGCAGGATATATGTGAAGAATTTAGCTAAACAAGTTCAAGAAAAGGTAAGTAAACATGCAAATTAAATATCTATCAAAAGGGCTTTTTCTGAGCATTCATCTTACACCTACACTTTCATTTCAGGATCTTAAGTTCATTTTTGGAAGATATGTTGACTTCCAGTCAGAGGTGGAACGCAATATGTGAGTTCATTTCATACTTAGTTAGAATTAAGCCTTTTATATTAACTCCTATATCACTTCTGAAAACTGGGATTTTAAAAATAGCCATATTCACATTTTCTGTGTTTCTGCATTAACAAAAATGTGTTAGACCTAAAAATCTTCATTTATGGAGATTAAGAAATCAAATTATTTTATGATGAGTGACTGAAGACCCTATTATTTTGCCTTTATGTTTTTATTCCCAGATTTGCTTTTCTTGGCTGTGTGACACAGAATGAACTGTGTAGGTGATTGTGTGTATCTGATCACTTTGCATATGTCCTATTTAGTAGTACTGCACATCAATTTGCCATCCTGCAGTTTAATATTACCTTTTAGTAAATGGTTTCCCCAAGCAAAATGGTCTCCAAGGACATCACGCTTCTTTGTAGGCTTTCCTTCTGTTTCTGTTCTTTCTCCCACCTGTAGCATGAGAACTGTGCATTTGTACTGTGAAATCTGCAAGGTTTGTTAAACATGAGTAATTCCCAGTTCTGCTCTGTGCCTCTAGGTTTGATATCCGTGTGATGAAAGAGGGCCGGATGAAGGGACAGGCTTTCATTGGACTGCCCAATGAGAAGGCAGCTGCTAAGGCACTAAAAGAAGTTAATGGCTATGTCTTATTTGAAAAACCCATGGTGGTTGTATCCTTTTCTTCAAGCATTTACATTATATTCTTTGTTGTCTCTGCCAAGGTTTATTGTCACAGTGTTCTGCAAAATAAAAAATGCCTTAAGAAAACCAGTCAGCATAACACAGTGCACTGTTTATGGTGGCTGAAAAAAACAGGGGCAACTCTTCTGAAATAGGACAGTAAAAATGATTTAAGAACAGATTTTGCTGGTCTTACATCTTTGATCCTGCAAAGACAATACAGGAGATAATTTGGTTTGCATGACCACTGTATTTAAATTAAATACAAGGTTTTTGACTTGGTTAGGTGTGTGTTTACAGAATCATGATCATAAGAAATGCTCCTGTAAGAGTAAGTGGTTCTAGATGGGTTTTTCAGCTGGAACTGTCTCCTTTTGGTTGCATAGCACTGTTTTTTTGTGTGAATGTCCCTTCTTATTTTTCACTCAAACATTTCATAGTTTATTTCAGTTTCTTTATACTCACATTTACCCCAGCATCTGCTGCTTTTACTGTTTTTCCTCTCATATACTGATACATCAAAGTTAAGAATTAACATGCTGGGTTGGAAATTTGTAAATATCAAACATTTATCCTTGTTTGCATCTAACCCATTCCCAGTTAGTCCTCCTCATAGTCTCTCTAATAACTCCTGTGCTGTGTATCAGTGAGGTCCTAATCTTAGACTAATAGACACTGTTATAATACTTCATACTGAATTGATTCACAGATAAAGGTCACTTTCTAGACTAATTTGCAGAAGTAATCTTTTTTGTCTTTCTTAATTGGCTTCTACTTACCAGACACTTGTAGTCCTTAATAGAATCTCAGCAATTTGCTCGTTCAGCTAGACCAAAACAGGATGCCAACGAAGGGAAAAGAAAAAAGTAAAACCCTGCACAAGGTATGGACTCTGCCTGAAAGTGAAAACAAAGGATTGGGCTTGGGTTTTTGTTAGTGTTTGTTTGGTTTTATTTACTCTCTCTTTAACAGCTTATTTAGGAAAATTGATGATGGAGAGGAAATGTTCCATACAAATCTATTTTCTTAAATGTGTGCTTATATTGGAAAAACAGGGTGCAAGGTATATAGTTGGTGTAAGTTTATAACTTTCCTTTTTCCTGTGTTAAAAAACTCAGAGGGCAATATTTTTCTAATCCTGATATTGTAGGACACTTGGCAGTTCCTTAATTTGCAAAGATAAGGAGAATAATTTTGTGGAATTGGACCACTTAACTTTTAGTAATCTCCCAGGGTTTTACTATTGAAAAGTGTTGCCTCTTACCTCCTTCCTTTCTATCCCTGCCGTTGTAATGGGATTCTGAAGAGCTGGTTCTAACAATAAACTTCTACTGGCTGTAAAGAACCTTTTCTAACTTCAGAAAATGAGTTCTTAGTGCTGTTGCAGTAACCTTTAAACTTGTCTGAATTAGTGAATGTTGCATTGATGAAGGCTTCCTTTGTTGTGGAATATGTAGGTCCTGATTTTTGGCGTTATTTAAATGTAATGAGAAAGTACCTTCTAGCAGAGAGTTGCTATTTAACTTTTATTTCTTATAATGTAGCTTTACTTCACTGCTCCCTACTCTGGGTATTTCATTTATGTGAGAGTAAGTCAAGCCAAATCAGCTCTAATTTACCTGAGTGGTTTCATGGCCTGGAAACATCTGCATAGTCATCTCAAAAATGACCATGTGCAGTAACTGGTGCAAGAATAAAAAGCATTTATTTCTCAGTCTGCACCCTCTGATACATGAGTTAGCTCCAATTTAAAGGGCACTGACCTTAATTTCTGGTTACAGTTGAGATCACTCTGGTTATGCCTCTACTTAAAACAAACTTATCTGAAGTCTTACCCTGCGTGCTTATGAAACATTCCTTAACCATGGTGTGTTTTTAATCTGGAGCTTGATCCTTGTTACTCTGAAGAAAACCTGAATTTGAAATAAAGGATGTGAACATTTGCTTTGATTTTTACAAATTGGCTGTTAAGCCCACAATGTGATTATTGTGATGGTAGTATTTCTATTTTTAACAGCTACTCTAATTGTAGGTTCTTCATTCCATCCATTGTCTAAGGATTTTTAAACTCAGATTTAGTCTTGTTTTTCTCTCTTTGGTCTTACTTCCTATTTTGTGTTATTTTTTGTAGTTTGCAAAGTCTGTATTTTGTCAGATTAAAGATCACTTTTTTATAGGCCCTCTGTACTGGTCATTGAAAAGAGCCTTGGCTAAAGTGTTCTATTAGGATCAAGTATTTATGAGACTGTTTCAGTCTTGTTTGTCACTCCTTTCTTGTTAGAAAAAACTTTCTATTTAGCTAATAAGATTACTAAGGTTTCTTATATTAAAAAAAAATTGAAGCATTTCAGCTGTTGGGAACCTGATAGATGAAGTCTGAGCACTTTTATTCTTTTAGGAATTCCCTTTTTTATTCAACTCATTTTGTACATTAATTCTGAATTCATTAAACATACTAAATACTTGAATTGCATAAAGAAAATAACAAAGTGCTTATTTTGATGGTCAACTTAGAAGCTTTTTCTAGAGTGAGCAAACCATACTGAGGCAAGGTTTAATTGTACACCTGAAAATCTTCCATGAGTTACCATCTTACAAGTGTCCCTGGTGTTCTGTCCATAAGCAGAACTTCTCTTAACTTGACTGTTCATATCTTTTAATCATATCAATGTGCCAAGGAGTTACACAGGTTTCTAAGGATCCATGAGGTTTAATTAAAAATACTTGTTGCATTTCCCAAGTAATGGTTAAGCTGATCCCTATTTCTGCATGATTGTTTTTCTGTTCCTGCTGGAATATTTGGATGGATGCTGATTTATGAAGTAAAATTCCATGATAAAAACTTGAGTCTGCTTGAGTCTAGGGTTCATTTTCTGTTGTTGGGTGGGGTTTGTTGTTTTTTTGTTTTGTTTTGGGGTTTTTTTACGTTTTTTTTTTTCTGCAAAGGCTTTATCCTTTTTTTGACAAAACAATACACCTGGTTTATAAAATATTGCAGAACTCCTTGCTGGCTGAAATGTCTCTTTATTGACGGACTGGCAAAAAGTTCACCTGAAGTGACTTTTTCCTGTAGCTAAAATACAACTGTTTGGGAGAAAAGTTATGTGGAAGAAACTGATGTTGAGAGGTTTCCAGCTTCTTCATAAGGAAAAAGTGGTTTGAAAGCTGGCATTAAAGGGAAACATGATTGAGTTTTGGATCTGATGGAAATAAAGTGAGTCTGTAAAATGGCAAAGACTTGAAGGAGATGGAAGAATCTGCTGGTCCTAATAGTTCAAGTTATCAAAAAATGTATTTTCTTTTGAATATGAAGTTTAGTGTTGATGGATTCATCAGTTCTCATTAAGTCTCACAAGGAGTTAGAATTGCTTTTTATCAAAGAGGCATATTTGCTTTTTTTTTGGTAGGTAGCATAAAGTTATGTGTGTGTAATACCAAGAATCAAGTAAAATTAAACCACATTCTGCTGTTCTTCTTTAGAAACATTCCTGCGTAAATACTGCAATAATACTGTCATGCAGAGTGTATCCTTTCTTGTTGTATCCTTTTTTGTGCATTGTTTCCTGTAGCACTCAACTGCATCTTAGGTTTCCATAATAGAGTAGATGTGGGGAGGAGTTAACACATTTTAAGCTTGAGCTAATCTAATAATTTTAAAAAGCAAATTTTTTCGGTGGGGGGGAAAGAAACCAAAGAGTTGTCTGTGTTGTGTGAATAGACACAATGAAGGTTCTTAGTCTTAAAAGGTGGCCTTCACCTTCTTCCTCAGGTACCCTAGTTAGTAATTTGTGGTCCTGTTCCTTAGTGTAGCAGTTCTAGCTCATACCAGCTGATCTCTGTGAAGCTGTGCGGAGCTCACACTGACCAAGCCACCTTGTTTTACTTTAAAAACCTATTAATATAATAATATGTTGGCTAAAATAGATTGTAGAGCAGTTTTAATATTAAGGGGTTGACCAGTATTTTAGGTCATTTGATGATTACTGTTCTGGTACATGAGAAGCAATCTGGAGTTGATTTAGTTAATACATTCCTTACTTTCTCTTTTTAGAATAAAGAAGAAAATTAACAATATCTGGCATTTAAGTATTTGGAGCTGGACTAATAATCAACTATTAATCACTGCTACCTTTTTGTTGGTTGTTTGGGTTTTTTTTACATTGCTGTCTGCATTGAGGTAGTGTTGTTGCTGGTGACCTACATGTTTCCTATGGGTTTCATACTACATCACTGTTTAACATTCTATAATATAAAATTAATAGTCTGCATTAAAATGTATTTTTCACAGACATTAAGCACTTTTTAAAACACTAAGCATCTTTCAATTTAGTTGTCAAAAGCCAGTATAACACTGCTGTTTTTTGGTAGTTCTTACTTTTAACATGCCTTTGTGATGTTCCAGGTCCCTTTGTGTTCCTTCTCTTTCAAGTATTTCCGAGCTGGGGAAGAAGCAGTGTGATCATCAGGACTCTTGAACTGTGCGTAGTTGCATTTCTAAAGTATTTAAGGCAGAGAATAAATTTTCCCGTCTTAAGGATTCCACATATCTTTAAATATCACAAGACTTACTACATCATAAATGTATGTTAGATTGCTTGTGAAATCTAATAAATTATTTCCCTTCTCTTCATTTTGCTGCCTTCTCTTTGTTTTGACTTTTGTTCTTGGGGTTTTGGGCAGGACAGGTCTTGTCTTGGAGACCAAGCAGAAGGATGGGTGCAGGATGGGCCTGAATTTGTACTGTGAAACTGGGCACTGCTCTTCCTCAGTAATTACCTTGCATTGTTCATCTGCAACTTGAAAACTGTCAGTGGTGAGACTGAAGTCATTAAAACCAGAGTAGCAGTTAAAGCTGGTATAGATGTGGTCCTTGCCCTGTTGAGGGTGATGATAACAGTGGTCACATAGGATTTGTTGCATACTGGGCTGGTTAGTTGACTGTCTAAAACCATGTGGGAAATACTGCAATGACATTTAATTGACAAGATATTCCAGTCCAGTGCACTTAAAGGAAAAGTTATTCCATAAATGACTAAATCATAGCTGATGTTGTAGGAGCTGGTGCAGAAGATTTGTCATTACTCCAGCTGCCAACAGTCTAAATCACTAGTATTGGTGGCTGGACCAAAGTAAATCTATCTTTGCTATTTTTTTCCAATAGGAGCTGGCTTAGCAGATTCCTTTGAAGTGCTTTTACTGGAATTACTCTTATTTTACACTTCCCATGGGGACTGTGTTGTTCGTTTAATCCTGGAGGGCTTTTTCAACTTAAATGCTTCTGTGGTTGTACAGTAGTATGTCCTGTGAACCATGTTGAGCTACAGGACCAAAGACCCAAAAGTGGCGCCGAAATGGGATAACAGCAAAGTGGTGCTGTGCTCAAGGACAAAAATACTTTATAAGAAAGTGCTGAAAGTGAATGTTCAGAGAGCCGTGCCCGGTCCGCGTTGTCCCCGGGACGGGCGGGAGCAGCCTCGCCGTGCCCGGGCGGTGGCGCGGCCCGGCGGAAGGGGCGGGGCGGCCGCAGCGGGCACGGAGCGGGATCCTCGGGATCCGCGCCGCGCGGGCAGCCCGGCCGGGAGCCTCCGAGGGGCGGGCACGGACCGGGATCCTCGGGATCCCCGCCGCACGGGCAGCCCGGCCGGGAGCCTCCGAGGGGCGGGCACGGACCGGGATCCGCGCCGCACGGGGAGCCTCCGAGGGGCGGCCGCAGCGGGGTTGCTTCGCCTGCCGGAAACTCGGGGCCGCTCGGTGGTTGTGTGGGGAGCCGCCAGAAGGGACAGGACCGCTGCTGTGCTGCCCTGTGATAGCCTTTGGCACCTGCAGCCCCCGCCGCTTCCCTGTGACAGTCTTTGGCAGCTGCAGCCTCCGCAGCTCGGCGTCCCGCACGTCCGGACGCGGCCCAGGTGTGTTGGATGGCGGCACCGCTCAGGCCGTGCCCAGCACAGACAGGGTGACCCGAGTCCCGGGCTGGCCGGGACAGCGGTGGGGCTGCGCAGAGACGCTCCGCTCCCAGCTTCTCTGCAGTGCGGTCAGTGTTGCGCTCTTCCACATGGCTTCTTAAAGTTTTTCCGAGTTTCAAAAACATTTTGAAGCTAGAGCCATCAGAGTGCGGTGAGGATTTCAACATCTGCATTCTCTTATTATTGCTTGTATTGAAGGCGGAGCAGCCATAAACCTGTTTCAGAGAAATTAAAGTCTACCTTGAATCTTTAAGCACTAGGCTTTGGAGCTGGTTGGGTCAAGGTACATTATTCTTACTACTTTGTGTCATTTACTACTTTGCATATTTACTGCTGTGAGTAAAACTTGCCAATCCAATAAATGGCTTTTCTCATCAGAGAAGATGAAATTTTCTTAGCTCATTTTCTCTTAATGTATGTGCTTCCTATCAGGACCAGAAAGCATTCCTTCATGAAAATGGAAGCACGCAGAACAACTGCTTGTGGTTGAAACTTAGTCTGTATGCTTTACTTAAGATCTACTAGTAAATAATCGTATTAAAGCTATTTTGTTCACTAGCAGAAAAGACAGCTAAATATACCAAATGCTTTATTCTAAACAACTCTGCCTGCTTCTGAAGAACAGTGACAGCTGATAGTAGTAGGCTCTGGAAGGCTGGTTCTACATTTTATAAACTATATTTTGTGCCTAAATTTGCTCCAAAGAGTGCTCCACTACCTGAGAGATATGGATCATCCTTTCCTTGAAGCAGAAATGAGGGCAGTTTTGTAGAAATCATGTAAAATTTTGTATCAATTTATGTCTGGCTAACTATCACAGCAGGTTAGAGTTTTCAGCAGTGCATTCCCAAGTGTCTATTAAATCAGGAAAAGCACTGGTTTCCTTTGTGTAGCAAACCTGAGGGCCCTTGTGTTCATGTTTAAACCTTCACTGAGGTGTTTGGTTTCCCTTGTGACAGGAATATCTCTGCTCTGTCACTGTAAGATAACTTTTTAAAAGAATACTTACAGGAAAATAACAAGATTCTGTATTTTGTTTTAAGGGAAGTATTAGTTCAGGCATTTGTTTGCAGAAGTTCTTGTAGGACTTCTTTGTATCTCGGACTCTCTAAATCAACTTCTGAACGGGAAGAGTGCAATATAAGGCTCTCAGTAGAGTAATGTAAACCTTGATAGTTGTTTAGTTTCTGCTTTGTTACGGTTGTATCTCTCTAGGTGAGGAAAAGGAGAGGCGCTTTTGATATAAGGATCATTATCTTTGTTTATCCCTAAGTAAACACAAATAGGATATGAGTTGGGAAATGCAGTTCCTAGCCTAGCTCCTCAGAAGGAAATGTAGCTTCAAGCCTCTGGAAAGCTCCTTCTGCAGAACTCTGTACTTGGGCACTCAGAAGGAGAATTCTTGGTTATGGAGCTTCACTTCTAAAATCTGCATGCCATTGCCCACATTCTTAAAAGGAGAATATGTCCACATAAATCCTGCAGGTGTGCAAAGATAAGATATTTAGTGTTTCTGGGTTTCACTATAATTAATGATTTCTGTATCTGAGAGATCTTCCAGATTTCAGGCTGTTGTTTGAATGAGAGATGTCATGCATATCATGAATGACAGACTCACATGTTAAACCTCCAAAATATCTGGGGTTTCATAACAAATCATGGTAAGAAATATGCTGCCTCTGCAAGGTCTTATCCAAATATGTTCAAGTTGTAGCAACACCATTTGGAAAAAAAAAAGCTGTCTCTCAATGATAAATAGGAATGTAAAATAACATACATTAAAATTATAAATAAAATGTCAATTTCAGTCTATATAAGTATTCCTTTACCCTTTGGGGTAGTTTTTGGCTTTATACTAATAAAACCACAACTTTTGCATTCTGGAGGCAGCCTGCATTAGGCAACATCTGAATTTTAGGTGCATGAAAACAAAGTTACTATTAGTATGGGAATTTGATATAGTTTAGATAAGATCCAGTTCTCATACAAAATAACAGGTAAATAAATATGGTGCCAGAGATGGGTGTTTACCCTTAAATGTGTATTTTCTAATGTGTACTTACCCTCTTACAGGAACATTGGCAGTTAGTAAGAAGAGCCCAGCTGATCACAGAGCACTGGATGGGGATCTATTTTCTGCTGTTAGTTGTAGGGCTTTGTTGGGGGCAGTACAACCCCAACACTGTCCCAAAGAGAACCTCTATTGTGCATCTCTTTGAATGGCGCTGGCAGGACGTTGCTGAGGAGTGTGAACGCTACTTAGCTCCTAATGGATTTGGAGGAGTCCAGGTATGTCTGCTTCTATCAGTAGGCAGTGAAATTGCTGCACAGATGATAATTTGTTTTTCACAGAAAATATTCAATTCGTCAAAGGACAGGTACTGAACAAGAAAAATAGAAGTTGGTAATGGAAGTAGTAAATGCTGACAAATATATTCTTCAGCTATCTTTGAGTAAGCATGGATTTATTTCATTGCTCCAAAGTGCATGTTTTGCAGTCTGTGCTATTACATTTAGGTGAATTAGAATTGCACATCACTTGCTAAATCTTCTTTTTTTACTGCTGTGAAGAGTAACCTATGTTTATCTGCTTGATATTTGTAAATCAAGGAAAGCTCTTAAGAGCTAGATAAATGTAAAATGAAACTATGACTGAACAAAGGGCTTCCAAAGAGAACAAAAAGTGCTGAAGGTGTTAAATAATTAAGTACAAAAGGCTGCTGATTGTGTTCACCCAAACTGGCAGGTTTCTCTCTGTGTATCACAGTAAGCCACTAAGAAACCCTTCTTTGCAGGAGCCTGGTGTGAGCAGGCAGAAGTGCACTGAACACAGGTTCTGGTGAATGTGTCCCTGTGTGAGTCAGTTCTGTCTGAACAACAGAGATGTGTTCCTGTGGAACCAGAACTGCCACTTGGGTGGGGTATGGCAGGAGAGCAGCCACTTATTAAAGTGTTCCTGTTTGCCTGTCAGATTGCTCAGGAAAAGTTGGTGTGAAGGCTGCCTGTCTCTTGTAGCCCAAGAGATTGCAAGCTGGCTTGATTGAGAACTCTCTCATCATTTTCAAATAATCATCTTGTCTTTGCAACCTTCTTTGCAGGCACACAGACGAGATGGACTTAAAACTGATTTCTCATACCCTGGCCTATGCCTGTTTATCATTTTAATCCATTCTGTGGCAGGGTCTCAGAAGTTTTTTTCAGATGATGACTTGCTGAGCTGGTCAGGAAGGTGTGGCAGCTAAGAGGCTGAAGGGGTTTTTCTGAGAAATGGTTGGATCAGGTTGTTGTACCCAGAGGCTTGGAGGTAGCAGCAAAAGCTTGTTGCCTAAAAATTACCCAGAAAATTCTGTAAAAGGAAGAGGTATAACTCACCTGGAAACTTACAGGTATTAGGTCAACAATGCATTCATCCAAAGCATTACAAAAATGGGAAGTTGGATCAGTTTTAAAGGCAGGATGTTACGTCAGTTGTTATGCAGTCACTTCCTTCCTCTGCTGACCTAATTCTTCAATTTCAGATGCTTTTTTTTGAAGCTTGAAGTCACAAAGAAAATTAGGGCACTCTGTTCATGGGCCTAATTTTTATACTGGCTTTCTGAGGCCAGGCCTCAGTCTTTTGTTTCCAGCCTACTACAGTGTAAGCAGAGGATACTGAGGATCTAAGTGTTCTCTAAAAATGTTCTTTCTCTAAAAATACTGGGCAAATAAATAAACCATTTTCAGTATCCTGTTACCTGCCATTGTTTTATTTACAGATTTCACCTCCAAACGAAAATGTTATCATTACTGACCCCCGGCAGCCATGGTGGGAAAGATACCAGCCTGTCAGCTACAAGCTGTGCACAAGGTCTGGAAATGAAACTGAATTTAGAGACATGGTGGCCCGGTGCAACAATGTTGGAGTAAGTACTTTTAAAACCTTCTGGTGTTTACAATGCAAGGATATAGCCAAGCAGTGATTCTGCCATTTAAAAAAAATGGATGTAGTGTTAACTGCCTGTCTGCTGAGCTGCATGTTTTATCACCCTTGCTGTATGCTAATAAAAAAAATGGAATAAAATATTGGCTGAAGCAAGCAAGCAGAAACAGGAGGATAGGGCAGGAAGTATGGTAGAGAGAACATTAATTAATGGTGCTGTGGGAATTAACTTTTTCAAATTGTTACGTGGATACTGTTCTCTAGGTGCACATTTATGTGGATGCAGTAATCAACCATATGTGTGGAGCCAATGCTGGGGCTGGTGACCATGCTACTTGTGGAAGCTATTTCAATGCAAAGACTGAAGATTTCCCAGCTGTGCCCTATTCTGGCTGGGACTTTAATGATCATAAATGTAAATCTAGAAGTGGAAACATTGAGGATTATCATGATATATCTCAGGTAAACCTACAGCTGTGGTTTTCATGTGCGTCTGTTCCTGTGCTGTGATTTCTTTGCTCTCATTTACAGTGAGACATTTTTTAAAAGAAATTTTTAAAAGCCTTATGAAAAGCCATCCAAATTAATAACAGAGATTAGTGTTGTTATTAGGAACACCACTTCTTAAGGGGATAGCTGTACTTGAGACAATGGCTCAATTTCAGATTCAGACAATGTGTTTAGGCAATTAATAAAGACAATTTAAAGCTCATAAAATTTATTTAGTGCTAAAAAAGGTAAAGTTATTATTTGCCTTTTATTGTAATTTGGAAGTTTTCCATGGTCTCAGTTTCAGAAGAGAGGGGTTACAGCTTCTGTGTAGATGACTTTGCAAAGTAAAGAAATGCACGGGGAACAAAGGCTACTGAATGTTTTACTTGGCATTGTAATATAGGCCAAGAACATTCAAAAGGTGTGTAGAACAGTACCTGAAGTTTATTAGGTGAGAAGGGTTTGATTTCAGGTGCGGGACTGCCGCCTGGTCAGCCTGCTGGACCTGGCCCTGGACAGGGAGCACGTGCGCTCCAGGGTTGCCGCGTACCTGAACCGGCTCATCGGCCTGGGCGTCGCGGGCTTCCGCATCGACGCTGCCAAGCACATGTGGCCTGCCGACGTCAAGGCCATTTTAGACAAGCTGGAAGATCTAAATACTCAGTGGTTTCCTGCAGGAACTAAACCTTTCATTTACCAAGAGGTAATCTTTATTTTTTTTTTAAATTCTACTTCACAAACACTTCTTGCAGGCCTGGGTACAGACTCAGTCACACATGGCAATGCTTTGCATGGGGTGAACCCAAGCAGATTTGCAGAAATCTTCTTCAGTTCCATCCTCAATCATAATCTACAAATATCTAATCTGTCCATAAATGGTAATTGATGTGCAAAATGCCCCACTAGTTTTGGACCTACTGGACTTAGGTAACCTGGAAATTTTATTGAGAGAATTTTTATTGAGGTGAAATTTACTGCATTGTAGTTAGTGTAAAAATTTTATTGGTTTAAAAAAAGGTACCATTTCCTGAATTTTAAATCCTGGATAATAAATTGAAACAGAAGACATAAGTATTGATTATGGGCTAAAAGTTTATTTTCCAGTGGTATAACAAGTATTGTTTGATATTCTGAATTTGTGTTTTACATTTGAATAACAAATTGGAACAAGCAGCTGAGTGTTGGTTTCAGTCAGCAGAAGATAAACTTGCTGCACATATTTTATTAAATTAATATCTTGCCTGCAAAGTCTAGGCAAAGAGAAACATTCTTTAGCTCCATAGTTAAAGGATGCAGCCCAACTGTTGAAGCAGAGGCGTTGGTGACCATACTGAATATAAAGGAAGTACAGCCCAAGCCTTAATCATGGGTAAGTAATCAGCTGGAGTAAGGAGAGAGAGGATAGAGTTGAAAACGAGGTTCACAAGCTGGGCTGAGCTAAAAGGAGAAAATAGCCTTACATATGATTTTGCAAGAAACTCAAATAACCAATAGCCAGCTTGAGCCAATAATTAGCTCAAGTACTGTCCCCTTCCTTAAAGCAATGTCTAAAGCAGTGTCTTATTTGTTTGGTTTTTGAGAAGAAAGACATGCTCTATCTTTCCTGTACCAGGTGATTGACTTGAGTGGAGAGCCCATCAAAGGCAGTGAGTACTTTGGAAATGGCCGAGTGACAGAATTCAAGTACGGTGCCAAACTGGGGACAGTGATCCGCAAGTGGAACGGAGAAAAGATGGCCTACTTAAAGTAAGGAGGGAGGTGCTGCAACTTATCCAGGATTCACTGGATACAGCAGTTGACAGGGTAGCTCCAAGTCTGTGTTTTTGTTTAGGAACTGGGGAGAAGGCTGGGGCTTTGTGCCTTCTGACAGAGCCCTGGTCTTTGTGGACAATCACGACAACCAGAGAGGACACGGGGCTGGTGGAGCTTCTATTCTGACCTTCTGGGATGCCAGGTGAGGGATTGCTCTTGTGTGGGTGATGCTTCTTGCTTTTGCTTGTTTGTCAGTGTGTTCTCTGGCAGGTACCACGTCTCATTCCTTGTTTGTCCACCAAACAGGCTCTATAAAATGGCAGTTGGTTTCATGCTTGCCCATCCGTATGGCGTCACGCGTGTGATGTCAAGTTTTCGCTGGCCAAGATATTTTCAAAATGGAAAGGTGAGCTTTAATTAATTAAATAATTAATTTAAATTAATTTGATTAAATTAGTGCTGAAGATTCATCCATGGGGATTAAGTGTGAGAGCAGGGCCAGAGAAGTAGTTCAGTGCATTTCAGGTTGTCGAGAGATTTCCCTGTCCCGGACTGGATGTAGGCGGTGAAACTTTGATGCTCCCTCTAGCTTTGTTCACCACAGGGAGTCTCTGCATTTTGAGTCAGAAGATATGAATCTTTTTTTTTAAATAAAAAAAAATTTGTTTTTAATGACAGGACGTCAATGACTGGTATGGGCCCCCAAGTAACGCAGATGGCTCCACAAAGACCGTTACAATCAATCCAGACACGACCTGTGGCAACGACTGGGTTTGTGAGCATCGCTGGCGTCAGATCAGGTAGGGCACTGGGGAGAAACAAGAAGTAAAAGCAGTTGCTTTTGCTTCCTGCTCCATGTGGCTTTAGAGGAGTTGCAGGTGCAGTGGCAGACATGGCTTGTGTTTTCAGGAACATGGTCATCTTCCGTAACGTGGTGGATGGTGAGCCTTTCTCCAACTGGTGGGACAATGGCAGCAATCAAGTGGCTTTTGGCCGTGGTAATAAAGGCTTCATCATCTTCAACAATGACGACTGGTGAGTAAGAGGGAAATAAATTATAATTTATTATGATTATAAGAAAATTGTTATGTGTTAAATATGTATTTTAAAAATCTAGTTACTAGTGAAACTTTTTAAGGTGTTGCTAGCTTGAACAGATATTTCTAATGGATTATTATTGACAGTTGTTGACAATTTGAACATGGCATTTTCCATAGGTACTCTTTGCAGTTTAGACCTTGTAGTGTGGTATTTCTGTTTCCCAGTTCTCAAGCTGGCTGTGTCACTGGGCCTGGTCAACCAGCAAAGTCTAAATTTATAGAAGTGAGGGAACTTGTAAACTCAGGAATATGTTCTAAATGTGACAGTTTTAAAAACTGTATTGGAACCGTTTATGCGAGAATGAGTTGACAAGAGAACAGGAGTGTGTCAGGGCTGCAATAAGTAGCTGTAGGTTGTGGTGATGAGCAATTTGAAGCATGTAGTTATTGAATAGATTCTGTGGCGTCCAGCGAAGTGCTAGAGGGTAGTTCCATAATTACTTAACATCTGAGGTTTCCAGTATGATTTGAAGAGCATTTTAGCGTCCTCATAATGCTTACTGCACTTTTTTCTTTTCCAAAGGTCCTTGAATGTATCTCTGCAAACCGGTCTGCCTGCTGGCACTTACTGTGATATCATTTCTGGGCAAAAGGAAGGTGACTTGTGTACAGCAGTTGAAGTTCAGGTTGCTGCTGATGGCATGGCTAATTTCCTAATTGGGAATGAAGACCAAGACCCATTTATTGCCATTCATGTTGATGCTAAATTGTAATCAGCTGTGTTGTGCATGTACTCTTCCTTCTCCTCTGTATCTTTGTTATCAGCAAACAGATGTGCAGAATGTCCTGACTCTCAGGACTGCATGAACCGAGACAGAGCAAAGTGTGTTAGCTGTAATACTGATGAAATAGTGAGCAGAGATGAGAACTGGTGGTGCCATGCACATCTGGGAGTGATGCTATACATCTGTGTACATTTGTAAGTGTACTTTATTCAGTTAAGGTACTAATAAAAAAATGGAAGGAGAAGATTGACATTATTAAATTTAAAATCGTGGTGCTCTGTGCAGAAGTAGAAATGCAGTTCTCTTTAGGGGCAAGCAGGGTTGCTATAATTGACAGGCTATCCAAAAACCAAGAGAAGACCCCTTTGTGCTGAAACATGGCACAATTCAAGTTGATTTTCTAGTCTTCGTATTCTCTTGGAGTATTGTTTTATTGTTAGTATTACTCAAGTTTATTCATGGAGGGTTGTCACTAAGACAGGGATCTTTTAAGTCAGTTCCAAATGAAGACCTGAAATCATTTCATGAAGAAGAGTCAAAGGTCTTTCTTTTTTGAAGGAGGAAGTTGTAGGAAATACAAGAAAGGACTTGGAAAACAGTTTCAAATTCATTTATATGTCTGGCAGCTCATCTGCACTATCATTTGCATCTGATTTTGGGTTTTGTTCCTTGAATCTGATGAATCATTGATCACTTAAAATGAGGTGAAACAGTTCATAGTAGGGACTGGGCAATGACACCAGAGAAACATTAGATATGAGAATGTGTCCCCTCCTAGTTGCCAGTGGGATTCACCTGGTAAAGACCCCATACCTCTTGTGTGATAAATCTGTTACTGATTAAATATTGACCTGGTTTTTGGTAGCCGGAGTCCCATGGAGGTGCTCCTATGAGAAGCTGCTGGAAGCTTCCACTATTTCCAGCAGAGCCATTCCCTGATGGCTCTGAAGATGGTCAGTCATGCTGCTGTCCAAAACCAGGCCAATGAGAGAGGTTGGTTATGCCTCTGTGCTAACATATTTAAGAAGAAAATCAAAGCAAAGTCACACATTTTTTCTTGTAGTCAGAAAAGAGGAGGAGGTGAGAACAGACCTTGGACACACCAAGGTCGGTGCAGAAGGAGGGGGAGGAGGTGCTCCAGGTGCCAGAGCCGAGATTCCTCTGCAGGCCTCCTGGTGATGACCATGGGGATCCAGGGGGGATGCAGAGATCCACTCACAGCTCATGGGGGAGGTGCCCACGCTGGAGCAAGTGCATGCCTGGAGGAGGCTGGGATCCAGTGGAAGACCCTGTGGAGAGAGGGGGCCCCTGCTTCCAGGCTGGAGCAGCCTGTCTGGAGGACTGCACCCTGTGGGAAGAGAGACTCAGGTGTAGCAGTTTTGGGAGCCTGTGTGCCCATAAGAGGGACTCGCGCTACAGCAGGTGAGGTTTGGCTGCTGCAATTGAGAGTGGACCCATGCCAGGGCAGTTAATGGAGAAATGTCTCCTGTGGGAGGGACCCCATAACCTCACAGGGGGAGGACTCCTCTCCCTGAGCAGCAGAAGAGAATCTTGGTGATGAACTGACCAAAATCCCCATGCCCTGTCTCCCTGCACTGTCAGTGGGAAGGAGGAGAGCTGGAATGAATCAGTGTTTTAAGGGCTTTTTTTACTTGTCATTATCCCCCTCTGATTCTGTTTGTAATAAAATCACTTTGCAACCTTTAGTTGAACCCGTTTTGCCCTTAAATGTTTTCTTCCAGTCCTTGTCTCACTCACGAGCCCTTTGTCAATTTTTTTCCCTCTCCACTGCCATGATGTGGCAGGGGTGAACAAGCAGCTCTCATTGGTGCCTGGTGTTGGGCCAGTATAAAACCATGACAGTTCCTCATACCCTGGTCTGAACTCAGTCTAATTCTGAGAGCAAGACACCTCTGAATGCTGGCAAACTCATTCATTCTCGTAATGCTGTTAGATTTCCAGTCATCTTTCAATCAGCTCCCACTCCTTTTACCTTCAGAGGGTCTGTGTATTATGTTTTGGTGCAGGGATTGAGAGACACAGACCATGCTATGCAAGCAAAAACATTTATTGCAATAGTTCACCAGTATTTATAGGTCTCTAAGTTCCAAACAAAATATTCCACTCAGACCCCTTTGCTGGTGACAGAATGATAACTGAGAAGATTGTGTTACTCAGGGAATAGGGGCAGTGTCCTTGTTACTTTCTTTGGCCAGAGCAGAGTGACCAGACAGGATGTCTTAACTCTTGTCCTTGCCTCTTATCCTTGGGAGTTTATCTCACTCAGGGCCAAGAGGATGGTGGCACTACCCAGTTCAGCTTCTGCAGCTGTCTGATTTTCCACATCTCCCCGTTTTTTTGTTTTTTATGTAAAAGGTTTGTGTACCCTGATGTTAAAACAGTTTGCACCTATAAGGCCATTATCTTATTAAGAATATTACTGGTTATCTGCTGGATACAGGATAAGATACATGGAATACAAATCACGATAAAGAAAAAACTTATGAAATACAATCATGTCATTGACAGAGAGACTCATATAGGAGAACAAAAGGATAATGTCGAATTGGGAAGTGGAAACAAATGGCTACTGTTCTAAAGTTCATGTGATTGGAGTTCAGGGGCTGTGCTGTTTAGGCAGGAGGAATGTTAACATTATTGAAACTGAATTGATCTTAATAGCACTTAACAGAGCTTAAAATAACAGACCTTAAATTGAATAACTTAAATTTAACTTTGTTTAAGCTTAGCAACACATAAACTTGACAGAAATTAATTTGAACAAAAATTAATCCTAACAAAAATTAACTTAATGGTACTTAACAGCATCTTAATTTGGCAGAACTTAAGTGCAACAGAACTTCAAATTAACAGAAGGTAAACCTAACATCACTTAAATTCAACAGAACTGAATTTTCCCATTACTTAAACTGTACCATATTGAAACACAACAGATTTGAAAATTATTATCACTTAAATTTAGCAAGAAGAATTTTGATTTTATTATTACAAAAAAGTTACTGGAAATCCGTCATGCAACAGTTAAACATCAAGGAGCAGCACGTAGGTAAACAACTGTTCTGTGACCAAAATAGCAGCAACGTGGATTTACTGGAGGGATTAAACTGCTGCAGATCAAATTGAAGGTTATAGGACTTAGTTAACGACTGTCAGTGAATCATCTCTCTAGTAAACAATCCTGTTAAAAATCACAGCTCCCTGAAAATACAAGGTTAATTTTAACAGATGTATTTCAGTGCATCCTGCAGGCACTGTAACAGCGCTGTGCCATAGCTTCAGAACTTCGTGCAGGAGGGCTTGGTCCTGAATGCGGGGGCTGATGGGCGGCTCTCAGCAGGCACCGACCGGGGCCCGCGGGTCGGCGCTGCTGCTTGGGGATGGGAGCAGGCGGAAGAGCTCTGACAAGCCCGGGGGTTTTCAAGCCCAGGAGGTAATACCGACCATGGGCCCAACCGTGGGCAGGGGGAGCTCCGAGGGGGCTGCACCACTGCCAGCAACACCCTGCCCCAAGCTGAGGATCGGTCCCTTCTTTGGATCTGTTCTGTGGATTTGTTCTCAGGATCTGTGTCTTGGATCCGTGCCCAGGTTCGTTATCAGTATCTTTCTTAGTACTCCTGTTGCAACTACTTACAGGAGTTTTTTAATCACAAGGTCTCTTTCATTTAGGAAAGTTTAACCCATAATGACAGTGGCTCCAATATGGAGAAATTCCCATAATATTTGTTAGTTGTACTGACATTACCGGAACATCTCCCCAGTACTCACAATTCCATGATTTTTTTGTCCAACGAACACCACTGATCTAACTTAATCAGCTGTGCCAGCATCTTGCTTTCCATTGGATTGTGACTTGCAAAGAAAGATCCATGTCTCATGGATCATAGGCAAAGGGGGATGTTAAAAGCTCCTTTGCAGAGTCCTTGCATGTTGCTGAGGGGGCACTGGGTGACAATTCTTTCCCAGCACCCTCCTGAGCTTAAAGAGTTTCTAAAAAAGCTCTCCAGAGAGGTGCAAAATCAGCTGCAATCTTATCACCTCTCATTGCCCCCTTCATCCCACAGTTCTACTGTTAAGACATGCTGGCCTTTAATCTTTAACATGTGATTCTGCCCAGTGAAAATCAGCTTAAGAGAATGAGAAGCAACTGTTTTTCTGGGCTTCTCTAAAAGTTTAGACATAAGTTCAAAGACATGTTTTTCTCCTGAAGACATATTACTGCCCATGTCCCAAAGCTCACCATCAAAACCTGAAGGGATGGATGCTGGCTGGCTCCTGCTTCCTTTCAGCGGCATTTCAGTTCTGTGGGCTATCCCTAGAACAGCCAGATAGGGAATTGTCGTCCCTCACACGGGACACCATTCGTGGGGATTGAGGGACATGGACCATGCTATGCAAGCAAAGCTCTCTGTTGCATCAGTTTACCAGTATTTATAGGTCTCCAAGTTCTGTCCAAAATTTTCCACTCAGACTCCTTTGCCCCTGTTTCCTTAGTAACACAATCTTCTTGGTTATCATTCTGTCACCAGCAATGTCCTTGTTACTTTCTTTTGCCAGATCAGTCACAGTGTCCAGACAGGATGTTTTAACTCTTGTCCTTGCCTCTTATCCTTGGGAGTTTATCTCACTCAGGGCCAAGAGGATGGTGACACTACCCAGTTCAGCTTCTGCAGCTGTCTGATTTTCCACATTTCGGAATACTTTTGATAAAGTATCTTTGTTTATATGATTGGAAAGAGTGCAGTTCTGGATTTGGGTGCAAGGCTCATGGATCACTCAGTTTGAAATGGCATACAATCACTGTGAAAAGGTATTTTATCTTCAGCTGTTGGGTTATTCAGGAGAAAAAACAAACCCAAGGAATGATATTGAGCTATCTATCTAAATAATAACTGATAGCATTGATCCATGTGAATTTTGACAGCTGCTACAGGAACTTTGCCATCTTGCAGGCACATAAATAGCTGGTGAAGAGACCACAGCCTTACACTGAAGGCACCATGAAGATCCTTCTCCTCCTCCTCGCAGCTGCAGGGCTTTGCTGGGGGCAGTACAACCCCAACACTGTCCCAAAGAGAACCTCTATAGTGCATCTCTTTGAATGGCGCTGGCAGGACATTGCTGAGGAGTGTGAACGCTACTTAGCTCCTAATGGATTTGGAGGAGTTCAGGTGAGTTGTTTCCTGTGAGTAGCAGGAAAATGGCACTGTAATATTTGATTAATAATTTGATTA